GCGATTTTTTATTACTACTTATTTGATAGGCATATATCTATAATATGACTTCATGTAGGCTATGCTTTCTAATGTTGAAATCAGCTTCCAAAACCAAAACATTTGGAATAAAGCAAGAAACAAAGAGTATGCAATGTAACCATCCAATTTATTTTCAAATCATTCTTGAAAGTGAAATTCTATATTTTGGAAATTTTGCACGAAATCTGTCAACCACGGTGTCATGGTCGAGGTTGCTTCACCTATCACGATGTATTCCAACCATCATGAGGCTATCTAAATGAGCATTTGTCATAACAGAACGCAAATTATTTTGAATTAGTCTCATTGAATTATTATTATAATTATTATTGTTATTGTGGTGGTTGTTGTGATGAAAAGTTAACACAAACGATATAGTGGCTAAACGAATATTACATGTAAATATTTTTTTTTATTTGTTTGTTCCCCGACAAAATATATAAGTCGAATTCTAAGTGGAAAAATATCTCAATGGCATTTTGGATTCGACTTATTAAATTAAGATGGCAGCGCATCTTTAAAATCATAACAGCATTTTGCACTTTAAGTATGTAATCTTTTATTGTTAATTTAATAACCATAATAATACATTAGTGTATGATTGACATTGTTATTTGGTAGAATGATACCTTTCTGGGTGTAAAGTAAATGTATGTATTTGTACTGTTGATTTCTTCTATTAACGTTATGTAAATATTCAATCAAAATGTCTGAGGTCGACCATGTAATAAGATAGTAAATTATAATTGTTAGATCAAAAAAGCACCATTGGGTTTTAATTATAACTGTGAATTTCTCCAAAATTTTGTCCATTCTGTCCCCTTGATTTATGTTTACCGTAATTTTAATATTGATAATACTACTGTATATACTCAGGTATAAGACGAACCCCAAGATTCAGAAGATTTTTGGACGGTTTTTGTACTGTCGGGCGTGTAAGACAACCCCCCCCCCCCAATTCCATTGTCGTGATTCCCACTTTTTTTCTGCTTTTTATGGGTTTGATACTGCATCTAGCTGGCTAAAAACGGAGGCAAATGCAAGGCAATCTTCCAAATATGAGTTTTTTTTTATTATTGTTATCAAAATCTTAATTCCTGTATTTAAAATTGTGTTTATTCATTCATACTAACATTTAGTAGCTTCATTGCAGTAGTAGATTCTCGTACAAGACTATAGACAAACATGATTTTAAAAAATTTAACATATGTATGTCGTGCGTATAAGATGACCCCCGATCGTAATTTACTACTTTAAGCCTCATCTTAAGGCCAACTCAGCCAGACGAGGTTCATCGTCGGGGACAGTCTTTAAAGAAAGAGAAAGAGAAAATAGAGAAATATTAAACATGTTTAATATTCTATGACGCGACTGCCCCCGACGCAAGCCATCGCAAAAACAAATTGCGTCTGGCTGCGTCATTCTTCATTTACTAAACAATTTTGGAGAAGCCATCAGATTGTTAATCCATATATATATATATATATATATATATAAACAAAGAAGATTAATTCTATTCTGTATTTGCAGTGCAAAGTCAAAACCTCTTATCAAGGCCTTAAGAGTTGATACAATTATGAATCGGAAAATCACACACAATAAATGAAATAGAATGAAACAAATTGTGTAAAGCTTTTTATTTGTGAGTAAAACTCAAAAACACATTTATTGTTAATAAATCATTCCGTGATTATGTAGAAAATTAAAGCATGTTTATGTGTCTTGTAAATTTAAAATACATGTACAGGTAGTGCTAAAAAAATAAAACCGATCGGATTGATAATCATCTTGTGGTCCAGAAAGAGAGATGTCACGAAAAAGGGGAATTTAATATCAAGCCTCGCAAAGCTGAATAGCACACCTAAACACAAATAGTGTAATAAATATAAATCAGATTTTTATAGCGCTGAAATATTTATTTATTAAAAAATGCTCAGGAACTTTAAGAGAAAAGAAAACGGCAGAAAAATATGTTGCAGGGTTTGAATTTCCTTAAAATGTTCGATCAGCAACTAGCTGCTGTGGGCTGTGGCTGTTCTACAGCAACAAGCTTGGTAAATTGTTTTAAGAATACTGTAGGCCTATTCTATATATGTAATTGTATAATCCATTGCTAGGCCTGGATCAGGCAACTCGACAGCAAAATGCTTGCTGTCGAGCCTGGGATTTACAATAGCAGTGGAAGGCCCTTTCTACAGGACAGCAATTGCTGTAGGTGCTCTAGGGATATTCGAACCCTGATGTTGCCTGAAAACATCCAATTCACTATAATCCATATTCTTGATGCCCAACCAACAAAAGAAAAATAATAATAATAATAATATATAAATTTATACTGACTATTAATTTTATATTATATAAAATATTTAATTTTTTTAATTTTTTTTTTTTATTGTTAGCCTATCATTGATGGATCCAGTAGGGATTTAAATTTCAATGTACAATGGCAGATCCAGGGTGAGGGGAAGGGGGATTCAAGGGGTTTGGACGAACCCCCCTCTGTGAAGAAACGTAACAAAATACAACTTAAAAAAGACATGCTAACCTACTTAGGCATAGGTTGGAAGATCAGACGAACTAGGCTTAGCCCAACTAGTTTTCAATTAAATAAATTATACACACTGTTTTTGGTTCACCGTCATAATAATTTATGTACGAAAGTGCATTTTTCAGGCCTATCGGTTCATCGATCCATAGAAGAAAGACTATACATATAACTACTCAATTTTGTTGGAATATAAGAATATATTGCCTGTATTTTATTTTTTTTCCTATATGAGAATGAGATAAAATTACCTGACCTTTTCTCAAGAGGGGGAAAACCTTGAATTTTGAAGAACTTAAAGGTCCTTAAAAGACTCCTCAGAAGTCGGGAAAGCTCATTTCCGGCCATCTAGGAATCAAGATTTTCCCGGACCCTGCTTTCATTTTGGGGTTCTTTTGGAAACATTTTGAACCCCCCTCTTTTAAATCCTGGATCCGCCCTGATGTATATATTGAAATTAGCTCTACTCACTTATCTATTCTGAGTATGTTGTTCCCCTAGCCTTGGTTGAACAATTCTGGATCCACCCCTGTATTGCAAGTGAATATTTTAAAATTTATCTGACAATTGTCTTGAATCGTTGACAATTAAAGTAAGCCCAGTCCCATCTATCAAATTTTATTTGACAAAAAAATGTGACATGCCTATATATGACATCATATCATAATCCATAATTCTATTTCTTCTAAAACTCAAAAGTAATGAGTCTGGTAGGCAAAAAGCATTATGACCATATATAAGCACATCATGACTATATATGGGCATATGACATTTTTTTTTTTTGTCCAAGAAAATTTAATATTCTGGGAAGAGCTTTATTCCTATTGCTTTTCAACAATTTCAGTGTCTACAATAATTCCATAGAATTTAAATGTCGTTTCCGTGAAACAACTGGATAACCACCTTGCCGTTGCCAAACCACCTCTCCGGCTATATACGTGGACTGAACGTTCAAATCATCGTCCAGGAATATAAAATCTGCATCCGTGCCGTAGTCTAAAGTGCCTTTTCTCTCGGCGATGTCAAGAAGCTGTGCTGGATGTAGAGAGGCAGCCTCCAGCGCATCTACAGTGGTGCAACCTGACGCCTGTTTGAAATGCTTCACACAAGTTTGCATCGTCGCAATACTTGAAAATTAAAATAGTATACAGTAGTTATTATTATTATCAGTACTGTTATTACTATAATCATTATCATTATCATTATTATCTAGGTAAACTTTTGTTGTTTTTAGAATCTGACCTCAATGTGACCTTTTCCGACGTGTCAATAAAGATTAACTGGCCAATCAGAACATAGACAAGACAACACGCTTGTCCCAACCAAACGTCCCACGAACGTGCATGTTTACATATGTTTACACTGTTATTTTGTGGGATCTTAAAAATTACCAAGGAGCTTGGCATCCTAACATAACAGGGTCCATCTTTGTCTGATGTGAGGGGGAACGGACACTTCAACACAAATTACCATCATTAATAAACAATAATTATGTACGAAGTAGATTTCAAAGGACACGCATTAATTTACTACTTCAGTATTCACCCACACCAAGAATCTACAAGCATTTACTCCAACTGTTTCAAACAACATACAGAAATATTTAGTATTAATGACAGTGGCGGATCTAGGAATTCAAAATAGAAGGTGACCAGGGAGGGAGGGTAGACCACCTCAACCCACTATACATTGGAAATTTCACCGCCGATAATGGCACCTCTAGATGGCCGGAAATGACACTCTCAGACGTAAATTTGAATACAATTTTTCTCTATTTTGTTTATAATTTTGAAAATATTAGAGAAACCTGCGACTGTTTTCACCCCCCATTTCGCCCCCCCCCCCCCTCAACCCACTCCTGCCCTTGAATCTGCCACTAAATGAATTACTTATTTATATATAAATAAACTGACCTTCCTGCTAGTGTAGATGTGCCAGCAATGTATGCACTGTTGTTTACAATTTCTACAGTCTGACTTCCAAGATAGTGCCGTCCGGGAGGCAATCCCATTGCAGCCATGGCGTCTGTTATCAGGACAATTCCTATGGGACGATAGATCGAGTATTAGGCCAGTTTTCCACAATGTAAATTTATTTGCACGAAGAGAAAGCTGTTGAACGTATGCATGCGCGGTTAAATTTTCATGCAGAGTTACATTTTCATGCACTTTTATACTAGATTGTTCACTTCTCGTTTTTGTTGGTTTTCTTCGGCAAATTTTGGAGTTAAAACGCATGGTTTCTACTTTTTAGAAGCAAAATACAGGTAAAGGTAGGAGAATAACCCATATTTACATCAATCAACAACTACAGGGCTAAAATGACCCCATAGTATCTTCCGAAAGATACAATGGGTTCTTTAAACTACACAAGCCAGATGTGTACACTGGACCTCCATTTAATTTGTTTTTGTCCTAATCCGAGAAGACTTGGTTCTATAAACCAAACCCTGGGCGAGGAGCGGCTGGAACCAGTGCCGATGTTAAGGCTGTAGATAGCGGCCCCCACTGCCTTACTGCTCGGCCACTCAACTTAATAATGCGCAGCCAATGAGAGCTCAAGTAAAGATAAAACACACAATGCAATACAATAACAAAAACGACAAAATACAATACAATAAGCGACGAGACCCGTATAAAAAGCTTAGCAAACACAGTTTGGTCCTGCACAAAAACAAAGTTTTATATTATAGAAATATACGCATAACGTAAATGAGCAATTTCAAAGCAGACAAAGTGAATTAAATATTAGGGTTATTTTTTATTAGTATTGTCATATCCTGTATCCTGTTGATTAATTAAAGATTTCTTATGAGTGCAATGGAAGGGAATAATTTCAAGATGGAATGGCAATGGCACATAGAGGGCAGTATTTAAAAATGTTAATTTGTTTATGTTTGTTGGCAGGTATGATATGGGTGCATTTCTTCAACTGGAACTAAAATTGCATGACAATTGTTGAAACAATTAACGGCAAAAGTGACATCAGCCGTGCAATGTATTTTTTCATTGAACGGCACCTTTCGTTTAATCCCATGTGGCCTAAAACTCAACCAATCAAATGGCAAGTTGTATAACCAACAGATCTTACCATCAGGATGAGCTCTGTGTGCGATACGTAAAGCGGCCGGATGTGTGTGTATGCCGTCTGCTATCATTCCGTAGAATATCTGGCTGTTTTCAGGAATGTTACTGCTAGTCAGAAGTCCCACAATACCAGGGTCACGATGGTGAAACTAAAATTATCAAGAGTTAAAAATACAATAAATCAACACATATATAGTACTAAAATGTTATAATAATCAAAATTGTTTGTGCCATTTCTTTTAAACATTGTAAACCTATATTGTCTATCAAAGACTCAGTTTATTGTGAAACATAAATACAACTTTTCTGTTGTTTTTACTACTACTATTTTGAAAATAATGATGATAAAAACAATATAATTAAATGATAATATTAAAAATAATAACAAAATTTATGTGTTATAGCAAATTTAAAAACATCACACGACAAAAAAATTTGGATCAGGAAATTCAATGAGGTCTTATACCCCTTTTACACTGCAAGCAAAATTCTGGACGTAACCCGGGATTTTCCAATACCCGGGTTAAAATCTCCCGAGTCACTGGTTAGTGTAAACGTCGAAAAGTCCTACTCGGGTTGCAAAACTTTCCGGGATGGACGTGCGGGACACATTCAGCGTAGGACAACCCGGGTGCATTCCGGAGTCGCCAGTGTAAACAACACCGAATTTTATTACGGAATTAGGCCTTACCTGGTGCCTACCGCAGCTGTGGTCAGGTAGGCCTAAACTTTGCTAACAATGGGCTAGGCCTAGACACTTGTCAAATTAAACCCTCTACCTCCGGTATAGACATGATATCAAAACTGCTGATTTAATTCAAAAACAATCTGCAGGTACATTGCTTCAATTTCAACAATTTATTGTGGCTTTGTGACGACAAGGAACCTGGGATCACTCGGAAGTAACCCGGGTCGATTCTGCCTTTGGCAGTGTAAAAGGGGTATTAGACACTAATGTTAAGCCTGTGTTGCTCGCTCTGTCACAGACTGTGCACTTTACCGAGTCAGCACCTCTACATCAAGAAACAGACAACACTGGAACCAGTCCCTAACATAACAGGTTAAAACAAAAACAATGCTTTTGACAAATACAGTTAAATTACAATGATATTTGTGATCTTACCGGGAGCATAGCATTGAAAAGGTGCGTTATAAAAGTGGCTCCATTTTTAGCCGCATTTTCGGCATCAGTTAAATTTCCCATCGAATGACCTAGATAAAAAAAAAAGGTTGATAGAAAATTGAGATTTCGGAACTCCTCTAGAAATAGATCTTATGTTAGTATTAAGGGGGTTATCCCAGCAGTGTTCTCCCGAAGCCGTTTTAGCTGTCAATTTTACCAGTAAAAATAACTGACGAACCAGTAAAAATTGTGTGTTGGTAGAATAAAAAAGCACATTATTAGGCCCAGGTTGACTAGGCTGCCCTTCTTTCAATAAACAAACATCATTCCTTTCCAGGCCTAAGCTATGATTACGTATTATTGTTTTTTGAAGCCATTTAAATCCACTTAAAATTGGCAATATCTGAAGTTGTGTGCGCTTTGCTGGCTCTATATGGACAAATTTACCAGTAAAAATTTTTCAATTGGGAGAACACTGCCCAGATATCATAATATTTGTGCCTCTTGGTTTTGTATTTGTGTTTCAAGTTTCTTTTGTGTAAGATATCAAATAAAGCATCTGTCCATATAATTTCTGGCTTTACACCTTGTCCAAAATTCAATGTTAAAAAACAATTATTTTTAACAATTTGGTGATGGTTTCTGCCTGAGAAATGCACAAAATCATAAACTTTGAAGGCTGATTTCTCAAATACAGGTGTATTGTTCTTCAAACAGCTGTGTGTTTAAACGCTATAACTTCATAAGGAAATATCGGATTTTATTAATATTCTTTTACCATTAATACAACTCTCAATTTCATCTTTAACCGGTTGTTAATAACTAACAAACCGTTTTTGCAACAAGTGACTGGTTTGGCTTGTCTTTCCCACATATGGTGTACTGGTCATGATGACATCACATCATGACCATATATAGGCACATCATGACTATATATGGGCATACAACAGTTTTTTTGTCAAAGAAAAGTAGATAATCTAGACAGAGCTTTAGATTATGGCAGTTTGATTTTGCCCAGTGATAATTATAATATATTAATATTAATGAGCTTATCAAATAATTAGTTATGCTGTATGAATACCACATAGGACCAACACCGAGAATCCAAGTAATATAATTTTTTTTCTTTTCACCAAATTATTAAGTAAATAATATTCAACATGATACAGTTCACCCTGCGATTTCAGACCATTGGAACGCGAAAAAATTGGGATGGTCTCAGGGTTCTGCCTCCAATTAGAGGGTTAACATTGTGCTAAAGACTGAACACTGTTATTTAAAGGGGTCTCGGATTAAGGGGGGGTCTCAAATTGGAGGGGGAACTGTATTAATGTATGTGTACACGACTGCTGTAACCAAAAGAATACAAGTTAATATTATTTTCACCAAAATATGAAATAAACTCAAATGTTATATGATTTGTACCAACAAGGAGAATCCAAGTTAATATAGACTGTTTAGCAAATGAAGTAGTAAACTTAAAACTTATTACCGAACGTGCATTTTGATAGGTCCTTCTGAATTGTGAAATTTCCAAATGCAAGAGTAACTTATTTGTAGTCCTGAAGACCGTAAAATCTTTGAAACACCATACTTTTAAACACAAGTAAAAAATTGATGACATAAAATTATCGAGGCCAAAGTCTGTGTAATATGGTTTAAGTTCATTCATTATGCCCACCGAAAACAGCAGTGGCGCCAGGATTTGCCGGACTAGGGGGGGGGGGGGCCGAGGTCCCCGACTGGGAGGCCGGTGCTCCGACGAAGGGTCAGATTTCCCCGACGAAAGCAAGTGGGCATGGTCGAGCTTCGATTAAAAGGCTCCGAAAGTGGTCCTGGCGGCGAAGCCTCCGAAAATTTAGGGGTTTCAAAGGCTTATTTAATCGATTTTAGAGTCTACTAATATGTACAAAATACATATAATTTTGTTTTCTCCCCGACGAATTGTGATTTTTCTCCTCGACGGGGGGGCCGGCTCCCCTGGCCCTCTACCCACTGGCGCCACCCCTGACCGAATATTCACTAATAGTCAATCAAGCTGCTAAATCAAATACAGTACACATTACTTTTACTAGTAGATATATCTTGAGTACATAGGTAGATGATCCTACAAAACGTTTTGATGAAACTTATGAATATTTATCTTTATTAAAATGTTCTAGCAATAAAAGCTTTGTTAAACAATCTTAACAACAGTATATCTATAAAATTAAACAGGCTAGCTATAGATTAAGTTTAATTTTTAAAGTTTTTAATATAATATTTCTTTTCTTCAATGTATTCCATCTGAGCTTTGTGGGGTTTTTGTAATTGATTTGAGAGACATTTTTTCCACCAGAATTCAAAGAATTAATTACAATTTAAATGTTCTGTGGTCCCAGTATCAAAGAATGACATTGTAATGCAGCAATCGTTTTAAAGTAGGTATTTGTTTAGTGTTGACTGTGTCTGAATATATTATGTGAAGTTTCTCGGTTATGCACAGGTTGCAGCGTTTTGTTTTTGGGGAGTAAGCCGATGCTCTGTCGATAATAGACCATTTAATGTTGTAGGGTGTGTTGCTATCTTTTAATTTCCATACGTAATTGGAGAGTACGGTGCTGTTTCTGTGCTGTTTAACCATATATATATATATATATATATGGTTAAAAACAAGTCAAAGGTGTTCTAGTTAAACAAATGTGATTTAAAAATTAATAATTATAATAATTACCAACTGAAACAATTACACCTCTCTTCCGCAATTCTTTGATGACATCATCACTTCTGTCAATTTCTGGAGCTAGGGTGACTATTGCAACATTATCAAGACTTTGGTAGATATCTAGAACATCCTTAAAACCATTCTGATCATATGACTTGATAAGGTTGACAGGATGTGCACCATTTTTCTCCCTATTAATAAATGGACCTTCAAGATGAGTACCTGGGAAAATTGTAGAAAAAATTTAAATATGTACAAATTATCATTTAAAATATTCTGATGTCTCAACATGTCATTCGTTCATTCTACATAAAACTCTTGATTAAGTTTATGTCTATCATGAAATAGTATACACATACAACATGGTTTGAGGTATAAAGTACTTTTGTGTAATTGGGAAATATTATTATTATTATTATATCCAATATTTTTCTTACATTTTTCTCCTGCTTAACTGCAGAGCCTACTACAGTATTTCAAAGTTTTAAGACTTTTTTTGGGCTTTGTCACTTGTTCGATGGCATTTAGGACTACATTTCATTATGTTACATTTTATTATTATGACTTAGGGGTCCCAAGTTGTAAAAGTCAAATTCCTGAAAAATTTGTAGTGTAGGACAGGCATAGGTTTATGGCGCATGAAATTAAACGCATGTAGAAGGACACGCATGTAGACATTTGTTGCCATGTTCAATATGAAAAAAAAAAAGAGGCTTGGACAGGTTGAGGTCACTGTTAATACCTTATTGCTGCTTAGCATGTTTAATAAATCTATACTGTCTGCCATATTTATTACACAAGAATGGGAAATTTTGGCTTAGCATAAGCCCTAATTGTGAAATCTTTTAAAATCCTGGAGAAATCTAAAGAGAAATTCAAGTTTCAGGAGAAAATGTGGAATTTGGGGGAGACCAGGAGATGAACCAAAATTCTTTGAGATCCCAGGGCAATCTGGGAAACTTGGGAGCTCTGTATTACTTAGTAATGATATTTTTCTTAAGCATATACTCATTTCATCAGTACCATAACATATGAACAAGAGGAAATAAATAAATTGAATTGAATTCTGTACTTCCCAAGGTGTTAGATGATTGGGACTACCTCCCAACGCAAAGCCGTACATTTTATCTTCGCATGGGCAGGTAAGTATTATTTGACCAATGAAAAGTTGTTATTATACATAATCAATATTTTATATAAAGGTTTAGTAATATCAACTATAAACTAAGTATATTTTAAATTTCCAATAGAAACGAAAGTAACAACACTTTTGATACTAAATTGTTCTATCTCTTAAACTCAGTTTTGTTATAATAAATTTAAACCATTATGCATATATAATGTATTTATTCTTTATTGCTGTTACTCATATTTTAAATTATATGTTTAAAAAGAACACACAGACTGTGTTTATCAATGTACCACTTCAGAAAATAAGTATCAAAGTTGGTGATAAGGCAAAACAAAAAATTGTTGTGTTGGTCACATTTTGGGAAATCCAAAAAATGGGTAGGTTGGTAGGAAAATTTTTTTTTTCTTTATAATCAAATATGTGTTTATTCCTAAAAAGTAGAAAATACACAAATAATACAATTTTGGATTCACCCACCATTAATTTCATAAAATTTCGATCAGTCGGGCGTGGCCAACACAATAATTTTTTATTTTGTTGGCCTAATGAATTATCAATAAAATGGCATTTTAATATGATACCCACTATATACCTAAAATGCCAGCACCATTTTTACATCCCTTAGTCTTCCTTATCATTGGCAATATCTGAAAAAGGTATTAAAAAAAAATCCAAATTAATAGAAAGAAGCTTTTAATATAGTCAGCTAAAAACTAGTAATAGCTAACTGAAGACTTCACATGCAAATTTCAATGTGAAATTTAGAAATTTAGAAGCATTTTATAGTTTATGAGGTACATCCTGCAAAAGATCTTAGGATCCATTACTGCAGGAATGTTATGGACCAGTAAACCGGGATAATCCCCTACTCGTCTCAAAAGATGTACTGGGTTCTTTAAACTGCACCACAGTGAGCCAACTGCGTACACACACTGGGCCTACGGCTATAGACATCCTTATCTGAGAAGACTTATTCCACCACCAAAAACATAGGCGAGTGTGCAGCTTGATCCAGCACACATGGATGTTGTTTGCAGCACCCTGCCATCCGACTCCGACTTTGAGAAAACCAACCCCAACGTTAAAAAATCCTGTTCAAACAATAAGTCTAGATCAGTTTGAATTTGAAATAGAGGACCCCCAGATAGGGATTTTCAGAGATAGAGGGTCCATACACCTCAGCCCCCATCATAGCTGAAGGATGAGGTAAGAAAATGTATTTTATTATTTATTCTGTTTTACTCTTATAGAGATGGCAAGCTATAAAGGAAAATAAACTCCTATTCCCAATAAGATAAAATGATGATTATGGCACCTCTAAATTTGCCGGAAATAGCACTCTCAGTAAGTAAATTTGATTATAATTATATTTTTCCACATATTTTTTTTAATATAAATTTGAAAAATCTGTTAAGGGGCCCGG